ATAGTGATGTTGGTAGCGAATATTTCCATTCGAATTTTGCAGGAAATTTCCGAAATATTCTGTCCCAAAATCGCGAATATTGGCAAAAATCCGAATTCTGCAAGAAATTTCTTTTCAAAATTCAAGACATTGAGCAAAAATTTAAAGAAAGTGTATCAAATCCGCCTTACTCTAAATCAGAAGAAAAGAATGCTTCTCCAAGTACAAAATAGAAAACGTATGGCTCTTAAGAATAATGCATTTGCGCCCCTCTGTTTCCTGGGAGAGCACTTAACAATGAAGAACACATAGCCGCTATGGAATTTATCAACAATATCACCAACAAACATCCTCAGTTTGTCAATAATAAAAGCCATTTTTTACACAGTCTTGTAACAAATTATTGCGCCAAATCGGGTTTATGGGCTCTCGACTACGTTTGGATGTCAGTTAAAATGTAGACTGTCTAAGTTGGTGGCAAGCAATATGTCAGTTGAAATATTTAGCTGTTGCTCTGCTGTCTTTACCAACGTCATCTGCAGCCACTGAGAGAAGTTTCAGGTACTAACAGTTTTATCCATACTAAAAGGAATCAACTTAACTGCACCAAGAGCCGGCAAAATAATGTTCGTAGCTCATAACAATAAATTATTACTACAAAAACAAAAAGTGGATATGGAACATGATATGCAACAACATGAAACTCCTCCAGAACTACTAGAACCCGTAGAGGTAGAGGTCCATCCTTCAAAATCAGAACCAGATGATACATCAAATATACCTGATTTGGAAATAAAAACTGACGAAGACAGTACTACTACTACTACTACTACTATAATACCCTATGAAGATGGGACCAGCTCTGCGCCTGAAAGTATTCCGGAATAGAATAATTCAGTTATTTGTGTTTTACGTTTTTTAAATTTATATTTCGTGCTTTTTTGTTTTGTTTTAAGTTCATAGTTATAGTTCATGGTTTATGTACAGGGTTGGTCAAATTCGACTTTTTTAAATAGAAACACCCTTTTCTATAGGAGATAGACAAAAACTAATATCGGTGTCTGGAGCTCAATTTCTGTCAAAAACATGACGGTGAAAACCGCATATCGATATCTGTTACCGTTTCGGAGTTACGGGGTGTTTTTCAAAAATATGCATTTTTAACAAATCGCTGTAACTTTTTTGCTATGGAAAATTTTGTATTTTTATGCAAACATTTCCAACGCACCTTTTTACGTAGAATTTAATGGTTTAAGTGTAATTTTTTTAAAATTAATAATTTAAGAATTATCAACAGAAAATTTGATTTTTTATATGGGACACCCTGTATATTTTTAATTAGCTGAAAAGAATTTAAAATTACCTTTCCAAAAATATAGCACACTTGATATTTTGTTATAATCCCCTTCGAAATACAGATTTTTTAAAAGTTCGCCACTTTTAATTAGTAGGCTTTGGACCCCTCATTGATGATATGCCCTTAATGGACTCGAACACATATTTTTCCAGCAAGACGACGCACCGCCTCTGAACGATGAAGTTATCAGCAAATTTCTGGAGCCAATTTCAAGAATAATTGAATAGCTGACCAAGAACCCAGCCGTTGGCCGTCGAGGCCACCTGACTTAGTGCCCATGGATCTAATCCTATGGATATATTTGCGGAAGAATAAAGGTTCCTTATTCTTCTGTATAATCTAGACAAGAATTAGAAATACTTAGCAGTTATGAGAGGGTATCTTTCACCCCCACTGAGTTAATGAATACCGCAAGAAATGTTCAAAAACTGCCCCGTCTGTCCATAACAGAAGACGGTCGATATGTCGAACACCTGTAGCAAAATCTCATGTCCTGGTTTGCTATTTATTTTTATTGTTATGAGATATAGTTTAATAGAAATACAAAATTTTCCATAGCAAAAGTTTCAGCGATTTGTTAAAAATGCACATTTTTGAAAAACACCCATAGCAAATATTATTTATTTAAAGCGGGCGAATTTTTATATACTCTATATCTCGAAGAGGAATCGAGCAAAATATCAAGTGTGTTATATTTTTGGAAAGGTAATTTTAAATTCTTTTCAATAAATTAAAAATATACAGGGTGTCCCATATAAAAAATCAATTTTTCTGTTGATAACTCTTAAATTATTAATTTTTAAAAAATTATACTTAAACAATTAAATTCTACGTAAAAAAATGCTTTGGAAATGTTTTCATAGAAATACAAAATTTTCCATAGCAAAAAAGTTACAGCGATTTGTTAAAAATGCACATTTTTGAAAAACACCCCGTAACTCCGAAACGGTAACAGATATTGATGTGCGGTTTTCACCATCATGTTTTTGACAAAAATTGAACTCCAGACATCGATATTAGTTTTCGTCTATCTCCTATAGAAAAGGGTGTTTCCATTTAAAAGCGTCGAATTTGACCCAACGTCCCAACTTGAGCACCGGCGATTCCGGGACAATTATTTTTAAGCTTTTAAATAATTGAAACAAAACATTAAATATTAGAAATTAAAATATATTATGTGCGTAGTACACACTTTTTTAATTTTTAAACATAAAACATAACATCAGGTCCCGGCCAAGGCAAAACTTTCGCCGGGACAAACTTTCTGATTCCTGGTTAATCCCGGCCAAACCGGGACGGTTGGGAACCCTACTTTTCTATCGGAGATAGACAAAAACTAATATCGGTGTCTGGAGCTCAATTTTTGTCAAAAACATGACGGTGAAAACCGCATATCGATATCTGTTACCGTTTCGGAGTTACGGGGTGTTTTTCAAAAATATGCATTTTTAACAAACCGCTGTAACATTTTTGCTATGGAAAATTTTGTATTTTTATGAAAATATTTCCAAAGCACCTTTTTACGTAGAATTTAATGGTTTGAGTATTATTTTTTTAAAATTAATAATTTACGAATTATAAACAGAAAATTTTATTTTTTATATGAAACACCCTGTACATTTTTAATTTATTGGAAAGAATTTAAAATTAGCTTTCCAAAAATATAATACACTTGATACTTTGCTCGATTCCTTTTCGAGATATAGAGTATATAAAAATTCGCCCGCTTTAAATTAGTAGGCTTTGAACGGCACCGGCTGTAATGCAAAAAAATTGTAGCTGTGAGCATCAATTAAAACGAAAATAATATTTGCAAAGAGAGATGTAGAATTTTATAATAATTTAAAATATATTTAACCAACATCAACACACTTAAACTAAATCTAATACCAATAAAAATAAATAGCAAACCAAGACATGAGATTTTGCTACAGGTGTTCGACATATCGACCGTCTTCTGTTATGGACAGACGGGGCAGTTTTTGAACATTTCTCGCGTAATTCATTAACTCAGAATGAGTGAAAGATACCCCCTCATAACAACTAAGTATTTCTAATTCTTGTCTAGATTATACGGAGGGATAAGGAACCTTTATTCGTCCGCAAATATATCCATAGGATTAGATCCATGGGCTCCAAGTCAGGCGGCCTCGACGGCCAACGGCTGGGATCTTGGTTAGCTATTCAATTATTCTTGAAATTGACTGCAAAAATTTGCTGATAACTTTAGCATTCTGAGGCGGTGCGTCGCGTCGTCTTGCTGGAAAAACATGATTTCGAGTTCCATTAAGGGCATATCATCAATAAGGGGTCCAAAGCCTACTAGTTAAAAGTGGCAAACTTTTAAAAATTCTGTATTTCGAAGGGGATTATAACAAAATATCAAGTGTGCTATATTTTTGGAAAGACAATTTTAAATTCTTTTCAGCTAATTAAAAATATAGAGGGTGTCCCAAATAAAAAATCAATTTTTCTGTTGATAACTCTTAAATTATTAATTTTAAAAAAATTATACTTAAACCATTAAATTCTACGTAAAAACGTGCTTTGGAAATGTCTTCATAGAAATACAAAATTTTCCATAGCAAAAAAGTTACAGCGATTTGTTAAAAATGCACATTTTTAAAAAACACCCCGTAACCCCGAAACGGTAACAGATATTGATGTGCGGTTTTTACCATAATGTTTTTGATGAAAATTGAGCTCCAGATACCGATATTAGTTTTCGTCTACCTCCTATAGAAAAGGGTGTTTCCATTTAAAAGCGTCGAATTTGACCAACCCTGTACAAAGTACAAATAATGTTACCAAATAATTTTTGATATGTTATGTTTATGACTTATAGGAGTTATGTATTGTTTATTAAAAATATAACAACTAATATTATGTTTATTGTTTTTTTTTCACTTACATGTTGGTATCAAATGTCTATCTAATTTATTCATTGTATCAACAAAAAATATGTAAAATTGTAAAATTTCATAAATTTCCGAAAGTTTCGGAAATTTCCTGCAACAATCAAAAGTTTCCGAAATATTAACATCACTAATAATAAACCATATGATCGAAAAAAAAACCGCACAAAGTTGGTCTGGAAATGACGATCCCCATGGTATAGTGATTTTTAACCATGTGTCGCAATATGACATGGCCAGATATATTGTTTTACATGGCTTGACGTTTAAACAACGTAGGCTACTTGATAAAAACCAGAAAAATATACGCTTTAAAACTAAATCTTAAATAACTTAAAAACGATTTATTTTAGGTTCAGGAACATGTATAATCAAAAACTAATGAACTAAAAAACCTTTTCACTAATGAAATAAAAAAAAGTAGGTTTTCATTTGAAAAAAAAACGATTTATGATCATTTTTAATGGCTCAATTCTATGACAGCTAGGGCCAATATGATATGACATTCAAACAATTTAAGTTTTACCATGTACCTAGATAGGTAAATAATTATTTTGGACATATTTTTCTATATCTCCATTTTTTATAAAAAAAAAATAAATAAATTATTTCAAAAACCACAGACTTTGATTTTTTTTTGGATTGCCTGGTAGTTTGATAAACAAAACAATAAATAAAAAGACTTTTAATCAAATTTTTGAAATAACTAAACGTGTAAAAAAAACAAAGCAAAAATAAATAAAACTTACATGTTTCCAACGGCATTAGGAGTCAAACAATTCTTCAAATCCTTGAAAAAATTCAGCTTCTTTGACATCTTTTCTTCATTGACAATTACTGTTCCCGACACACTTCTATTAACACAGTTACCCAAAACAGGTGAATCCCTTAACCTAGCTGACTCTCCTAAATTTATGTTGTTAATAATGGGCATATCATCAGAGTCCAACCACCGTAAAAATTTCTCGTCAAACCTATCCAACATTGATACACTTGCTGGTGTATCTGTCTGGACATTTTGGTCTTTAGTAGTAACTATATCTGTTTGAACAGAACTATCAGTGACCTCTTTCTTTTTTACATCACTCTTATTCAAATCTTTCGTGCTCAAATTTAACGCTTGCATTTTCACCTTGTTTAATATTTCAATATTTTTAGTTGTGAGCAGTTTGGGAACAACTCTACTACTGAACGGTATCAGTTGATATAACTCCGCCTCCTCTGGTGGTTCACTGTCAACTTGAGCACAGTTCAGTGAAGCTTTGGGTTTCACAGACTCAGCCGTAGAGGAACTACTCTCAGTGTGCTTGGTAATCTCACCAGAATCGGGATTTATATGTTTGTTTCTTATCTGATTATCATTTTTACAGGAACCGTACACAAGTTTGGGCTTATCAATTTTATCAGTTGAATGTGTATCACTATTATTTAGGTGGCTCACACTGCTGATTACGCGTATTTTGAGCGGTTTATTTAAATTTCCTATATCAACCATTTGGTGTTTTAGCACCATAGTGCATTGTTTTATTTCTTTCGGTATAAAACTCTGAGGCACAACTTTCAGTTTCTGGCCATTTAAATGAATGTATTTACCACCTGACTGGTCCGTTTTTAAGGTAGTTGTTGGTAGTTGTTCTTTCTTAATATTCGTTAAGTTTAATTTACCCAAAATGAGTTTTTTTGAATCGGATGTGCTCATGGTTACTACAGCTTTCAAGTCTGTAAATCCCAAAAGATCGAAAGCTTCGTCTTGTGTTGTTTGGCAATGAGTGGTACGGTAGTAAGCAAGTTTCTCAGTTAGCTGATCATTTACCAAAAATAAATCCATCGAGACTAAAAATAAAATTATAACCTTTTACTTCGAAAATTAGAGCATTAGAACTAACATAGGATTTTACTTACCAACGGTCTACCTCAAAGATACTGTACGTTTTTAGAACGTTAATTCTGATGGTACTGCACAGAACACCATATTAACAAAGTTAATAACAAAAAATACCAAAGACAAACTTGTGTAATTCCCCATTTATCCAGAAAAAAGTAAAAGGAAAAACATTAAAGCATGGCTGCCAATCGCAGAATAAATTTAACTTCAAAATCTCTGTTCAAAATGCACTCCAAGTGGTAATCAGAAGAACTACAATTTGACCCAATTTTAGATTAAACACATTTGATATCTGATATTACAGTAAGAAATAATATTTAAAACATTTTCATTATACAAAAATACTTATATTAACCCCTCACCTAAGTCCTATTCAAATAATAACTGCGTTTTTCCAAAAAATAAAACAATATTTCAAATTAGCGCCATCTATAGGTTAACACTCAAAGCTATAATTCTGGAAAAATTTCCATCAACCACAGATGAAATTATTTAGAATAAAATACCATGAAACAGTGCCTTCTATTAAAAGATCAGCCACAGGCGAGATTTATGACGTCACGCTAGTTAGATATAACGGATTAATAAATATGTTGTAGAATACATGGAAAACATAATTATTCCTCAGATTTTTGGTTTGTATTTTAAAAATGATATAGTTTACATTAAATATACATAATATACAGTTAATAACTACAACATATATACCTATTTATAGTAATAAATACTTTGGCAAATAAACTATGAACCATACAAATGCAGCAAATGTTTTACAATATACAAATAATGTATAGGTACATAAGATAATGGGTAAAATGTAAATACATATATTTTAAATTTTGGGGTTTGAAAATCGATCTAATTTAACAAAAAAACATTCAATATCTACTAATAGTGATGTATTATTATTTGCATTCACAAAATTTATATGTATATTTTGCAAGTATCAATGTTCGAAAAATTATATTTAAAAATAATACAATATTATCTAAAAAAAGGCGTCAGCGATGGCTATGAAATGGAGATCGCTGGCATTTTATAAGTAAAATTATTCTAAAATTTTTGATTTTCTTGGGATTTTTAGGTTCGGGAAAAACGCTGATTTAAGTTTTCATTATTTTTATTTGGTTTAAAAAAACGTTTCGGCTAACTATAGCCTTCATCAGTGTTGTGTCATATGAGAAAAATAGTGTCGAATATAATTCAAAAAATTACATATACAATATAATTCACACCTCATAATGTTTCCTGCAATTAATAAACTAATATAAACTTATCAAAAGATGACCACATATTTTTTAAAATTATTATTCTTAACACTAAAATTATCTACATTGACTATGGAGTACGCAGTAAACATTATGTGCGTGGTGTGAATATTTTATATGTAATTTTTTGGATTATATTCGACACTATTTTTTTCATATAACACAACACTGATGAAGGCTATAATGTTAGCCGAAACGTTTTTTTTTAAACCAAATAAAAATAATGAAAAACCAAATGAAAACTTAATCAGCGTTTTTCCCGAACCTAAATCCTAAGAAAATCAAAAAATTTAGAATATTTAGAAACAAGGTTCAAGAATATCAAATTTTCCAAGATTGTAAAATTCTAGTTAATTATTTTATGTGTACAGTTATTTAGGGAATGTCATCGATGTTAATTTCCAAGCCAACTAGACGCCGATTTTTTTCGATGATACGGTATAATTCTTACGTAAAATGTAAATAACATTAGACCAATTAAAACAAAGAAATATGAATTTCTTAGTATTTTTAGTAACACCTTTATTCTTAAAACTTAATTTTGTATTATGCAAATATACCAATTTTATTGTTATTTTATTCGTATTGTATTGAGCCATCACTTAAATATTTGATATTAATTTGGTATTATAAATAATCAACACTATTCATTAAAAATGACTGAACAAATATATGTTATGCTTGACATACATTATATATTATCAAACAAAAACACATTCTTCGTTTAAACTGTATCAGTCTTGTCTTTACAAAATCTTTTTAAAATTTGAACTCAAAATAATAATCTTTTTCATGATCTTTAATACACATATTCTTTATTTTTCCCTAGATCATCATACCTACTTAAGTGTTTGAATCTATCGAAGCTGAACCAACAACACTTGGAGTGGAGATTCCACAATATGAATAAAATAAACATAATTGTCCAATTTTCATTAATACCATCATGGGAGAATATTATTTTTAAATTTATTAAAGATATTTTCAATAGAATTCTCTTGATTTATAACTCCCCACTTTTCTTGCTCTTCCGGACACTTTAGGCTGCCTAGTATAACTATCCTTTCCACCAGGAACACAACAAAGATGAGGCATAGCACCAAAAACACACTCCACTTAAGCTTTATTGATGAATTGTTAGAGTCTTAAAAAACACACACAAAAACCACGATAAGTAAAAAATGTGTGGGCACTTTTAGGTTAAATCACTTACACAACGTGTAATTTTTCAATTTTTCTATTTTTTTATGCGAAACCGAGAGTGACCATATATCTGGTAGTAGTTTATGTCACTTAAACACCAAAATAATTAGTTTTTTGCACTACAATAATAAATAATACCAAAAATCAAAGAGTTAAAACCAAAAATCAACCGACAAAATATGAAACGGAATCTAACCCAATATCTAACTATGTACAGCTGATGAAGTAAACAAAAGTCCCCAGGCTGATCTTTTAAAGAACGGCAGTGCATGAAATATTTGTTTATTCATGTTATTAACATGTTATTTTATAATTAATTTATTTTTTAAAGTTATACCAAAAAATTAGACAAAAAAATGGAAAGAATTTCGGAGAAATACTTCTAGAGTAAACAGTTATTTTGAAATATAATTTGTTTATAACCTTGGCAACGCCGGAAGGACAGAAAATCGATATTTTAGTTGTACAGGCAACCAATTAAACAGATAGATATTTTTTAAATTTATTATTATGGAACTTTATTAAGCAAACAGAGTAATTGACTATATTGAGAGATGACGCCAAAGCTTTAAAATTTGTCTAAACTCGTAGAACGTAGTACCTTTAAAATTAACAATCTTACAATAAAGAATGCATTTGCGAAATACAGCAGTATAATCAAAATACATTTACAAATACAATATTCCTAATTACTATAATTAAATAAGATTGTGAAATGTAAAACCTGCATATTTCTGTCTTTTTTCAATCTCTATATACTGTTTGAAAAATTATTTTTTTCAACAAGGTTTATTTTATGACGAAATGGCGAATGCGCTTTTGTTTAATTTTGAAAATTATTGAAGAATTCTTTTAAAATAAATTCATTTCAGTGTTTTGCATGCAATATACGTATATACAAGGATGCAACTTTAATTTAATGGGTACCTACCCACTTTACATAATCCTACGATATGAGTAAATATATTTTGATAACTTTAGAGATATTAATAAATAAATAAAAAATATATATAATCCTTCCTTAAAAAAAATATTACCAATACAAGAACTGTCTTGAAATCAAAACTACATTAGTTATTTACTTTAGATGGTCTATACTAACTTTGCTATAAATATTGTAACCTAAAATTCTACAGGGTGTTCAAAATTTTACGCTAAACTTTCTAAAATATAAAGTAATTTTTCTTTGTTTTTTTTAATGGGACACTCTGTATATTATTTTTTTATTAAACGGAGAACATTTTTGCATTTAAGGTATTTTGAAATTTTCAATGGCTATCATATGATAAAAATTTACTGCGGAAAATGCCATATGAAATATAAAACTGGGAATATCTGAGAAACCGTTAAAAAATTTCAAATACTCTTAATACAAATAATGTTCATTTTTCAATTCTCCATCTATTGAGAAAATGATATGCAGGGTGTTCCATATAAAAAAAAAACGAAGAAAAATAACTTTATATTTAAGAAAGTTTGGCGTAGAGTTTTGAACATCCTGTATGATTTAAGATTACGATATTTAAAGTAAAATAAGTAAAGACCATCTAAAGTAAATACCTAATATAGTTTTTTTTATTTCAGGACAGTTCTTGTATTTTTAATAGTTCTTTTAAGAAAGGCTGAAAAATATATATTGTATTTATTTCTAAATATCTCTGAAACTATCGAAAAATATATTTACTTACGTCTTAGGATTATGTGAAGTGATCTGAAAGAAAGCCAAAATGCAATAATATACAGGGTGTTCCAGTTAAAAAAATCATCCGGACTTTTTTAAGCCACCCTGTAGAAGTTAAAATATTTTTCTGAAATACATCTTCGTACATACCTTAGGGTTGCACTTATACAAATTTCGCAAGTGTTTTATTCTAGGAGCTACAGATGCCCAACGCACTATTACCCTGTATATTTACTATTTAGGTACTCAAATCATACAAAAAATATTATTTACCCATTATCTAATATAAAAGTCTTTTATTCGATAACGTCATAACAATTATTATTGTATCTGATGATCGGGATAAGACAAAGTTGTTTATAATGTTTCTATATCTGACCTTTTATTAAAGGTTGTTTTTGACCTCCAATATTCAATTTGCTTCTCTTTGATGTTTTCTATAATTTACGTAAACAAATTACCGATTTACGTTAATTGTTTTTTACGTTCATTTATGGCTTTTTAGAGACCTCAAACGCTACGTATATTATTTTTGAAAAAAAAAACACAATAACTCCAGCAATATAGTTTTATTTGTTTTATTATTAACTAATAACCATAACTAGTACTTTTGCATATTTTTAGTAATAGTTACCGCAAAAAAGAAACAAATATTTGTTTTTTAAAAGATAAAATCTGCAAAATAAATTGTTGACATATTTACCATTTTCCAAATATAAAACCAAATTTGAAAATTGAATAAAATCTACTTAAGTTACAATTTACTTTGTATAGCATGCTATAATATTAAAAAAATCAGACTATATGATACAGGGTGTCCCAGAAATAAGTTCTTTTAAGGGGTGGTAGATCTCGATAAAAGAAACATATTTTCTCTTTATCGTTTTTCAAATAAGTCCAAAATAAGGGAGTTATTTTACTTTGAAAATTTCCAAAAAAAAAATATTTTTTGCAAAAATTTTGGGAACCACTTGTTTCTTGTAAAATTAATCTAATGGGCAACGGCCCAGCTACGTCGAAACACCGGTTCCCATTAGAACACCGAAGTTAAGCGACAGAGGGCGATGCTAGTGGATGGAC